TGATGTTTGATGTCAAGCATAGACTCTTCTAATTATAAGTTAAGATAGTTTTGAAGTCTCATCCAAAAAATGGGACACATTTTGAACACTTCATTGATTTAAGCGATTTCTATAATTGCATTACTGTTTTGTAATTAATACTTATTATTCCAATTGATATCATTTACAAAGCAATTTATCATGCATTTTAACTAGGGCTGCCAAACGTAATCCTTTTGGAGGACTGTCCTCCAATCGGGCCCTCAAAAACAGTCCTCCCGAGGGTCTCAGGAGGGCAATGTAATGTCCTCCCAGAGATAATTGTCAAAATAATGCAAATATTCATTTAATTTTCAATTTTAAATTTATGAAAATAATCTGCGAGTTTGTAATCATTCTTTAAACAATTTATGAAATAATTGTTAGAAGGATAACAAGTAGTGTACTGGGTTGGGATTGTAATTAGGCTTAAATTATAATGTAGCTTAAAGTGTAATTATTAGGAGTAAAAATATATAGCAATATTAATAAATAAACATTTTAATAATTTTTGTCCTCCCAGGACATGAAAATAGTTGGCAGCTCTAATTTTAACTCAATTTCTGTTATTTAGATGTGTTTTAACCCTGAAATATATTTACCGTGAATAGTCTAAATGTGTAAATAATTTAATTTATGGATTATTATTTACGGGCTATTAATGCTATACATAATATAGCAGATTTTATTTCAAATGATTTCTTATTTAAAGTAGTATATGAGCTTAAATAAAATTGCATGAAATTTTTGACAGTTACAAAACAATATTATTTCAGCTCTACATATTAAATGAGATTTATAATAGTAATCATAACATAAGAATATCTTTAGGCTATTAATATAACAGTATTAAAAGATTTGCTAAAAACATTATATTTTGTTTGAATCTTTGTTTCTGTATACATTTATTATTCAATATAAGATTTTCATACAATATATTCATAATAAATAGATAGACTTTTGAATTTTTAACGATGATTTTAGTTCAAAATTAAAGTCTCATGCAATCCTGTATGAGATTTATGTTAATTCTTGAAATGACTCCTAATTTAAGTGTTAAATGAAGCAAACAATTGCGAAATGCTATCTAAATTGCTAAACAAAATACATGTAAAGTGCGAGTATTGTACAGCACTATACACTATACACTATAGTACTGTTTGTTATAAACTAATTGTTTTTAGACTATCCTTATTGTAATCAAGTATTAAGTGTTTAATGATCTAAAACCTCTCTCTCTCTCTCTCTCTCTCTCTCTCTCTCTCTCTCTCTGAAAGTCTGAAAGTTCATTAAAAATTAAATGATATTTTAGAAAAATATTTTTAAAGAATTATGTATCGATTTCTAGATAAATGATTTTATTGCCATTTTAAGCAATAATTTAAACAAAAATACTTTCATTTAAACTAAAGTAATTATTTGTTTTTTAAAACTTGTTTAAAATACTGTACACAAGAAACAAAAATTTACATAATTTTTAGATTTTTCAAAAATCAAAAATACACTTCTAGTCAAATATATTACTTTTAATTATATTTGTAATTTCACTTTATTTCACAACAGACTTTCTAATATTTTGCAAAACTTTATTACAAAGTTTTATATATATATATATAAGAAATATTTTTATATAAGCAAATCAACTTTAAAAGATTTTATTTTATTTCATTATAGGGTTAAATAATTTAAAATGATCAAAGTAACTACAAAATATTGCCAATAATAATTACTTTTAAAATTCTAAATTATTTAAACTTAATTTCTAAAGCTAATTATTAATGTGTAATATAATATTTTTTTGTTCCTATTTTGTCATTATTTATAAATGTATTTTTATTTTATTTTAAAAATCAATAAAAATTTAGTTTATTCTCACAATTAATAATTTTTTCATTAAAGTACTGTAAACTTTGTTTATTTTTCTCAATGCTTGAAATAAATATAATTTAAAATAATTGTCTTTTTATCACAATTAAATAAAAATATTAAAAATAATTTTTAAACAACTAAAAATAATGTAATATTACATGTAAATTACATTATACTACCTATTATAATTACACTCCCTTTTGGCTTTGTATTTAAAATATAAATTATTTTTTAAATCAACAAACTTTTTAATTCTAATTGCATTTAATGCTAAAATAAATATAATATTATAAATGTTATCATTAATCAATTCACACAACACACCTACAGGTGCTTAACGGATAATACAATTAGGATTAATGATAACTATCTCATGGAATATAAGCCGGAGGTCTGAATTGCATTTCACGGGAGGGCTGATAGGACTGCAACTGGAGTCCAAGTTGTGGTGCGTGTGCCGGTCCGGGCACTACGTATAGGATCAATGGATTTATTGGTGATATCTGTGTGGTGGACACCGAACACATAGTAGGCATTCCTAAGGTCTGGAGTTCGCACAGATAGACAATAGCCATACAACAGGCCGTGAAGTTGAGGCCTGTGTTCAACCACTGGAAAGGGTTGTAAATCGTGTTTATAATACTCATGAGAGCTATGAAACCCATCATTGAAGCATAGGTTGCAGTCATTACGTAACTCTCCCTATAGACAGCTACAAGTCCTATGAAATTAACCAGTACAGATATACCCGACAACACATACAATACGATTTTGCTCTCATTCTGTTGAATGAGATTTTATTTAATTTATTATAAATAAATAAATATATTTTAAATTTCAAAAGTCGTCACAAATATACTTACGGTGTTTGAGGACATAATATCTATAAACTCCGAGAGACCTGTTATCAGAGCTGTTGATGTAATACATATAAAACACAGTCCAATGACTGTCCACTTCCACAATCTAAAAGAAGCTGATTTTCTCGATTCACTAATTGTAGACATTTTTAAAAATTTGATGTTTTCATTTTTAAATAATTTTATGATAAAAATTATAAATTTATATATTATATTTGTATATATTATGTCTTTTGTCGGTATATACCGGCTTTGTGTGTGTGTGTGGGTGAGAGAGAGAGAGAGAGAGAGAGAGAGGGATTGTAAGATTGTAATATAGTAAATTAAACTTATAATTTTAGTCAATTAAAATATTGTTATAATAATAAATATGTTAGGCTTTAAGCATTAATTTGAATATATTATAAATAATTTTTACAATTAGCTTCATAACTTTTATTTAAATAATAATATACACAAAAAATAGATGTAGCATATGCCGAATATCCATTATTCTTATAAATAAATATACAATATTAAAATAAATATTTTCTTAAGATTATTAGGAAATCTACATATTAAAATGCTGACACTTATTATTTGATGAAGTAGACAAGTTTGATCAGATTTGGCACCATTTATATTTTACATTTTTATATATCATTTTAAATAAACTTAAATATATTTTATAAAATTCACTATTTTTTGGAAAGTACACAGAATATAGATAATATATTTAACTACCATTTCCTTAACACAAGTAATTAAACAAATCAATTTCTAAGAGATAAGGCATAAAAATCAATCAATTGATTATTTCATCAATTGATTATCTCGCAGACTTTAATACAATATCTTAATAAATTGTATGATTAAAAACGACAGTCATTGAACCACAAAAATTGTTACATCGATATTGCGATTGGCATTTCATATTCATTACATACGTGTAAATATATTATATATACTGTATATAATGGTAAATATAAAATAATCACTCGTTTTGGTTTCGCTTAAACAGAGCCAGACTTCAGGTATTGAAGCGTAAAATTAAATTCATAGCAAAAAACAAAAATTTTTTAAACTACACAAAAATAAGAGTTTAGATTTTTATTTGTGTTACCTTAACATTGACACAAAAAATGTGTATATTTATAATTGAGGTCTTTATTCTCTCCATTTAACAAAAATACAAATTCTCTCTCTCTCTCTCTCTCTCTTACACCCACACACACACAAAGCCGGTATATACCGACAAAAGACATAATATATACAAATATAATATATAAATTTATAATTTTTATCATAAAATTNTCTCTCTCTCTCTCTCTCTCTCTCTCTCTCCCTCTCTCTCTCTCTCTCTCTCTCTCTCTATCGTACCTTTACTTTTAGTTAACAAAACTAAAATCCATTTCTCAAAAGCCGATAGCAATCAGTCGAACCGAGCGGTGAAAACTGGAAAATAAGTTTTCAAACTTTTATTAATAAAATGAAATTATTGTTGAAAAGTGAATGAAATGCTTATGTAATGCGATATTTATTTTTTGGCTATAATTTTATTGTGTATTTAGAATTTTGTTTTCAAAGTATTTTATTTATTTTGCCAAAAAAGTAATATTAACTTATGATTATAATTTTCTAATTATAAATATAATATCGGAGATTATTTTACTATTTTTGGCAGAAAATACCACTTTTTATATGTTTTGTGAAAATTAATTGTGTATATGATATTTGTGATTTTATATGTATTATGTGTTCAAATATAATTACGGAAAATATTATCTATTTTTCGTAAATGTAATTTTATTTAAGTCTAAAATATTTTTGATTTAATTTGTGATCTCAACAGTAGTTTTCACTTCAAATGTTAATAAAGAATGAAATTAGTTTTAAAGGCATTATTGGTCACCAAAATTATGGATCAGTAGTTATGATCATTTTGTACATCCTTTCACTATTTGGATGTGTATTGATTGCAATCATAATATTAAAACTCATTATTTCGTGTTTCTTTACCGAGAGATTTAAGTTATTTTGCATAACAAGTGACCAAAATGTTGTCAAAACTGGTGATGAATGCAATATAAGTGTCAGAAGTAGTAGTATTGATGGCAATCATATAACAAGGGACTCGCTAAATGGACAAACAGTTTCTCACCTGGGCAACATTTTAGTTAAAGTAAGTGCTTTTTAATCACAATACACAACGAAACTTTACAAAATACTAAATAAAGATAACTTGAAATACGGAAATAAGTTTACAAATACATTATACCTCTTACACTTTGATCTAATCAATATTGCTAATATTTTATAACATTTAGACAATTAATAAAAATTGCTATCTTATAAAATAAATCAATTTACTAATAATAGTTGCCAAATATTTACTGATAGACTTATTAATTAATAATTAAAAAACAACTTTATTAAAGTATTTAAGATTTACCAGTGTTCTGTCATTCAAATCAAAGTTTATCAATTATTTACTTGTTTTAATTAGTATTAATGCAATTAATTGTTCATTAGATGTGATCCATTAACACAGGGGTTGTAAACCTGTATGCAATGATAATTAATTACAAAAAATAAATAAAATAAACTAAATAAATGAATTCACATCATATTCAAACATAAAATCACAAATAATTTATATGTTATGCCTATTAGC